CTTCGAGTATATTTTATGAGAAAAGGTTTGGCATGACTCTATCCTAGTTAGCCCTTAAGGTTCATTAAATGTTGGGTTAAGATTTTTATGTCTAAAAATTCTCAAATTACTCTTTACATCATCGTCTATTATAAACTAATAAAGCAATCAAATCATCACTCATTATAGGTCACAAACAAAAAGAGTTCGATCTAAATGGGAATGTTTAGCTAGACATTGTAGAGGTATTTATCTTATGAGAGCATAAGTACTTTACTCTTTCTTAAAAGAATAAGAGCCTAAGTATAAAGCTTAAGCATGTAATGCACATATGATTATGTGTGCGAAGGAACAAATCTTTGTCATTTCTTTACCAAAAATACCCATATCCTAAATTCCCATAATTTTATTGGCAAAAAAATGCCACAATTATTTATTTATTTATTTTGCAAAATTTTACTTATTTTTCATTTTTCTTAAATTTTTTTAAAAAATAAAATAAGAGAATTAATATTAAATATCAATTAAAATCATTAAATCAAGATTTAAGATAACACATGACCAATTTTGGCCTAACTTTATAAAATAAATGACTTCCCTAATGAAGTCACTAAGCTTACATAACGGTTTAGAGAACCGTTGGATGAAAATTTAAAAATCAAGGAAAGTGCAACCAATCTTTTTAATTAGGTGTGATTAGCCACCTATAAAATTTATATTTTTAATAAAATTTAAAGGTAATTAAAATTTATTAAGAAGACTATTTTTTGTCTTTGAAAAACAAAAATATGGTTTGGGAATACAATTATGTGTGAGAAAAAATTAATACATCCACAACACCTATTTTAAAAACGATACCGGTTGATCATATGTTATCCTTTTGTTTTGATAAAAATGATTTTATTCTAATATTTAAAATAATCATCTTAACTTTTATTTTTTTTTAAAAAAATCTTTTTAAAAACCTTTTGTTTAGGAATAAGATGAAAATCCTTATTCTTAAAGCTTTTTTTAAATTCTCTAATATTTAGGTAGAATTTTGAGAAATGTCTCTCCACATAGTATTCTTATAATAATCTTCAAAATCTGGCTTAATATTCATTTATAAAAAGTAATTACTGAAAAGCTTTTCAATATTTAAGTAGGGTTTCAAAATTATTTTTTACTTAAGAATATTAGTTTTTTATTTAAAATAATTTTTCAAAATCATCATTTATTAATTTATATTTTTAAAAATAATGAAATGCAAATTACGTAACATAAAACAGACAAATGATACAAGTTAAAAGATACAAATGCACATTTAAAGATACAAATGATCAATGGAATTCATCTTATAAACATTTGATTTTATTCTTTTTTATTTTTATTTTTTATCATTTATTTTGAAAAAAATTTGATAAAAGAATTTTTATTTGTTATTATTTTATTTTATGTTGGAAAGTTTTCTTTAATTCCCTAGTATTTAGGTAAAATTTAAGAAAATTAATCTTCCATTTAAAAAATTCTGATAATTATTTTTGGTAAAAATAAGAATGATGTCCCTTAGTAAAATATGATTTGAATTCTTCTAATATTTAGATAGGATTTCCAAAATTATTTTTTCTTTTTGAAATATTATTTCATTTTCATAAAAAATTTTAAAATTATACCTTACTATTTCCACAGTTATCATTAATGCACGAAATGCATATGTGACAATATCAACATAAATTAAATAAAATATGTAATTATGTATATTTAAGTAGATTTTATTCATAATAGAAATAGCATTTTTGTGTTAAAAATATTTATTTTTATTATTTTTTAATTATCTAATATCTAAATGAAATTTAAAAAATTTAGTTTTCATATAACAAATTCACATAATAATTTTAAAGTAAAGACATCATTTTTTAATAAAAAATAATTACATAGATTCTCTTTAATATCTAAGTAGAGTTTCTAAAATTATTTTTTCTTAAAAAATAATCTTATTTTATCTAAAGAAACCTCATTTATGTCTTGAAAAGGGATAATTTTTATTAACATAAATCTTTTCTTAGAAGTCATGAAACTATATTATTAATTAGAATCACTTAACAACATGATACAACCAAAAATAAAATAAAATAAAAAAAAATATATATATATATATATACCCAATTCAAGCAACCTAAAATAGACAGACTTTAGAGTTAGGCCCAGAGATAAAGCAATTCGATCCAGTGAGATGTATTTTAGGTTGGCTAAGTCGAAAGTCAAGTCTGAGTCACCCAATTTAGTTTGCTTTCTTCTGTTTTTTTAAACCACCTAAGCTCTTTTGACTTTTTTTCTTTTCTTTCCTTATTTCTTCTTCTCATTCTTTTTTTTTTTTTTTTCTCTTTTCCTTCCTTCCCTTCATTTTCTCTTATTCTTTCTTCTCCTATATCATTTCCCTTTCCAATCAAAAACTCCCCCAGCTACTAACCTTCTTTCCTCTTTTTTTCTATTTTTTTTATTTTTTTTTCTTCTTTTTTTTCCTATTGTAGTCGAATGGTACTTTTTTTTTATAGGTTAACTAGGTTCTTCATCTAGTGAAGATTGTAGCTTGCTTTAACTTTTTTTTTTCAAAAAAAAAAGTTTTTTTGTTGACATTTTTTTTGTATGGTTTCCAATTTTTTACTTGTTTTGGTAATGAAATTGGGGATTAATGGTAATATTTTTGGCTTTGTGGGATGGTTCTAATGGTAGTGATGATAATAGGTTTGGTAATTATGGTATGGTAGGTTTGTTTGAGAGTGGTTAAAGGTTGGTTGTGAGGAGCTTGGTGAGTGAATTTTGTATTAGTTTTTCAACTAGTAAGAGGCGATTGGCAAATTGAGGGTAAGAATTTTTTGTTTCAAATTCATGTTCTCCTTTCTTTGTTCATCAACTATCTTTGCCTTTATATTGTCTCAAAGCATTTTAGCTCTATTTCAAATCCAAAAAAGTTGACTTTGCTTGAGTAAGGATTTTAGAGGCTAGTTGCAGAACATAACAATAGCTATTGATTTTTTGAATGTGTTCATGCTGGCAAATTTTGGTTCAACAAACTTTGCTCAATTTATGTTGAGATTGAATGAGTGAAATAGGTTGTAAAAAAAAAAAAAGAGTTGGGAATGGTAAGAAAGTTTGGTAAAAGAGAAAGTGAGATTTTTAGAAAGATGGAAAGTGAAGGGGAAAGCTAAAAATTGGCAGCCAACCATGGTTTTTTTTTTTTTTCTCTTAAAAAAAAAAGCAATTGGGTTTTAAGATTGTAATGTAAGCCTTTTTGGCTTTTGGGCTTTTAAGACCATATCTTGAGTTTAATCCAAAACTGAATTGGGCTTTAAAGATGAGTTTGGTCCTTTAATTTGAATTTGGACCCTATAAAAAATTACTTAAATCTTTATCAGGCCTTCAAGTCTAATTGATCCAAAAGTGAATTGAATCAGGTTTTAGTTTATGCAAAATGATCTCTCAAATATTTAATACAAAGTCAAAATAAGTTCAATCAAATTAAAACATTCGAATTTTCAAAATTGATATGTCTAAACCAACATTAAAATTAAACATAATCAAATTGTCTTGAATAAAATTAGGTATTTACAATGGATTTTGATTTCGAGAGAAAAAAGAGAACAAAGAAGTGAAGCTGCACGGGAGAAAATAAAAAGAAAATGAGAGTGAGAAGGGAATTAGACAACTGAATGGTGAGATGATTAAGAAAACTAATGGAAAGGATAAAAATATTAGGGTTTATTTTAGGATTCTTATACTATGAGCAAAAACAACATAGGAGAAAGAAAAAAAGAGTGGGCTATGGGCAACTCCAACCCATATTAATTTCTTTCTTAACCTAATTTGTTTGGTTGAAGCTCCCAAAACTGATATCCAATAAACAAGATGTGTTTTTTTTTTTTTTTCCAACTTTGAAAGAGTTCATGCTTTAGGAGAAATGTTTTTTCATATTTAATATTAATTAAATAGGATCAAGAATTTTATTATTATAAATTGAATAAATAAACTATAATGGTAAAAATGATTATTTAAAAACATATCTGAATGATGAAAATTACAAAAATAAAATTATAAGTATGTAAATAATATAGAAAGAAGTTTATGGACTGTTACTAAATTTAATTAGATTTAAATTAAAATAATAACAAATTAAATAAATTTAGAATATTGATAGCTGGTTTGCCTATGATATATTTTGTATAATAACAAGAAAATTTTTTTGCAAAATTTGATTATATATTAATTAAAAATATCAATCTTTATATTTACATTAATTATTTTTATATAAAAATATATAAAAATATTTTTTTATTACCTTGTTTTATCGTATTCATGTCTTCCATTTTAAGAAATTATTGTATGACTATATTCGTATATATCTATATATATATATATATATATATTGCGTATATCCATGCTTTTATATATATTTTTTATGTTCATATATACATATATATGTATGTATGTATGTATGTTGATCTACAACAATGTAAATAGTAGAATCCTTCTCGCTTCACAGTTGACATTATAATTTTCCCATACCTCCTGCCGCATAAATACTGGTTTAATTGCATGCCGTCAGAAATCTTGCAGTATAACCAATCTTTATGAAAGCTTATATTAGACGATCTTGTGGATTATGCTTCCTGGTAATAGAAATCTCCACAAAATTGGTTGCAATTACTACATATGATCTTTTTTTTTTCTTTTTAATCGCGTATCATGTTAAATTTTGATAGAAATTGTAATAGTTGATTTTCAGTTTCTGAAATTTATGGGATCCCTCTTATTATAGTAAATCAATTTTGCAATCCATATTAATTTTGTTAATGTTTCGATTATTTAATTTCCTGTCAAATCTTTCATTTTTATTTCTCTATACCAAACCTTTATTGGACGTGAAATAAAAAAATAAAAATGTAAAACTACTAAATATGAAACAAAAGTTATTTTAAAGTCATCGTTTATCATGCATATATTACTTGCTTATTTCATTTTTTTTTCGTTGTTAAATACTTGAATGTGTTTATTATCAATATCTTTCCAGTTATTCACTAAATTAATTTGATTTATCTTCATACAAAGCATCATATACAGTACAAAACTCTTTGGAAAATACGTATAAAGGAAGCAGCAATTGGGTAGAATTAGGAAAATACAATTTCTAAATATATCCAGTTCCACTGGCTACCTCTTTTGTTACTTATCTTCAAGCCAATCCCCTTTAGTTACTTATCTTCAAGCCAATCTAGCGTTTTCCTTGGAAACAAAAAGGAAAAAGAAAAAAAAAAAGGAAAAAACAAACTGTGTAGGGAACTGATGGAGCAAGAAATGGGAGAGATGGACGAAGGCGAAGGGTGGACAATAACAAGAACAATTAAAAAGAAAGATTTGAAAAAAATGGATGAGCAACTCGATCTGCTATGGGCAATGGGAGAGCTTAAAGAAAGAGAAAAGGTGGAAAAGGGACTGCTCTCAAACTCAAACTCAAACCAAGAAGAATGGGAAATTAATCCCAATAACATCATATTTAAAGCATTGGTGAGCAAAGGCACTTCCGTAGAAATCTTCAGAGGTTTTTATGACGATCAAGACGTTACAGGTTAGGCATACATATATTAATATGTTAAAATCCTAAATAAAAAAAAATATTTCTTTCAATCTCATCAAATTGCTTCATAATTATTAATTATATGCAACATGAGAATGTGGACGATTAGTTAGTTATTTACATGTCAGATTATACTAATTTATAAACTTTGCTAACATTAATGGATTAGTAATGTCGACTTAAATTAATTATCTACTCTTTTAGATTAACCTGTTCATGGTGAAGTTTTACTATATGGTAGTTTAATGCTCTATGCCTTGCCGCAGTACAAAAATACGTGCTGATAATTGTGTTTATGTTTTATGTGAAATTTGCATTCGAGTTTGGCTACAAACGATTTTTTTTTGGCCAAAGAACAAAGAAGATTGTAGAGAAGCAACAGCTTCTCATCAGTATATGACATCTGGTTTACAAGCTAAAACTCAAACCTGATGCATAGAGAAGCAATATATAGCTGATCTCTCATCAGTACATCTTATTATACAACTGGACTAGTTATGATGAAGAAGTTGGGAGCCGGTCCTTATTCATCATTAACTAATGAGGATGGAGGTTGAGAAACCCATCCGATTGCATCTGAATTCGCAAATGATATTACAAAGCCAACTTAATTCATTCTACATATTGTTGCCAGGATATCCAGTTATATTTCCTACGTACCAATAACCGCATTAATTGCATCTGGTTTTCCAGACATGCCATGCCATATGGGTATAGGCAACCCCAACTTTATCCACCTTACTCATATTTTTGTCATACAGAACAGTAGTCAATACCCATTCATCAATTCTATGTACTGCATCTTTTTGAATTTTTAGTCCATGACATCCAGCAAATTAACCAGATTGATCTCGTCCAAACATATTATAGAGAGAAATGTTCAATTGCTTCTTCTTCTTCTGAATTGCATTGACAATAAATGATCTTTTCATGGTTATGGATTCAATTTTAGTGGAATTAATTTAAATTAGTATTTGGTTTGTTGTGTGACAAATTTGCAGTGAAAGTGTTTGATTGGAGGGAAAAGATCCAAAACCCAAACAATTTACCTATGATCATGAGCCTATTCAAGGAGGAGATTTCTTTTTGGTACACGATTGATCATCCTAATATTATTAAGGTAACTTTAAATCCTAATCTGTCAGCTTCATTATATTCTCTTCTCTTGCATATTCTAGAAGATTAGCAATTCTTTTTTTTATTGATTATTGTCTTGCTTTAATTATGTTCTGATTTTTTTATTTTTTTAAAGTGTTGAGAATTAATAACCTTATTTTTCTTCTTAATTAATGCCTCAGTTAATAGGTGCCAAAATCGATGAACCAGAAATTATTTTACGAGGAGATAATCATGAAATTCGGGTGTTTAGTAATATGACTTATGTTGTTGTCGAGTATCTCTCCGGAGGTACCCTTAAATCTTTTCTTTCAAAGAATCGAGAAAACAAGTTGGCTTTGAAGACTGTCATTCATCTAGCACTGCACCTTGCAAGAGGGTAAAATTAAGCTCTTTAATATCTCTCTCTCTCTCTTTTGTAGTTATTTGAGTTTCAATTCAATCATTTTCTCAAGTGTAGAGATTGTTTTAATAAAGAGATTAAATGGATATGTTGTTTGAATTCCTTTAGGTTGGCTTATCTTCACTCTTGGAAACTTATTCATGGAAATGTCAAGCCAGAAAACATGCTTCTTGATAAAAATTTCAAACTGAAAATAACCGACTTTGGTACATGTAATGTGGAAATTTCAAGTCATGAAGAGGTAACAAGTGACAGTGCCACTGACACAATTAGTTACATGGCTCCTGAGGTACGTAGTATGATCAAAGTTTTATTCTATATGCAAATTATTTAGTTATGTCCATGTTCATATCCATTAGTTGTATTTATATAATGTTATAATCCTGATGAAGGTCATCAATTCTAAACCATATGATCGAAAATGCGATGTATATAGTTTTGGAATTTGTTTATGGGAAATCTACTGCTGTGACATGCCTTATCCAAATATTGGTTTTTCAGAATTGACTTCAGCTATTCTTTATGAGGTACAAGGTTTAATTTACTAGCTAGTTTTCATATTTGAGAATTGACGTTAAGAAGCTAACTAACAAACTTTGCGACTAATTTTGGATTGTAGAACATGAGACCCGAAATACCCAAACATTGTCCAGAAGCTTTAGCAAATTTGATGAAGCAGTGTTGGGATACAGATCCTAGTAAAAGACCAGAGATGGAAGAAGTGGTTTGGATGCTAGAGGCCATCGACACATCAAAGGGTAAAAAGGTTAAATGGCTTGATGTCCAAAGCTGTTTTTGCATTCGCAAATAGGAAAAGTTTTGAAATGAGCTAATTACAAAAAGGTCAAGTCTCCTTTAAAAGCACTTGTGCATAATGTTCAATTATCAACATGGACATTAGATTTTGGAGGAATATGCTTATTTTATCAAGAAGCATAGATAGAGACATGATAATTATTTATATTCAAATATTTGATTCAATTGAAAGTGAATGTCTCTCTTGTTCGAGAACTTGAGTTGGAATTCTATTCCATGAGGAGGACGTCGAGGGAGCAGCTGAAGGTTGAGTGAGTGGAAGGAAGGCTCGATTCTTTACCTGGTAATGTGTCGTGGATGGCACATCATTCCTTGATGAATGTGAGACAGACCAGAGCAGTCCGGCACTACAAAAAGGACTTTTCTGCGCTAATGCTCGACATAATGGACATGTCGGATGAAGACAGGTTCTTTCCCTTTCTGAAGGGCTTACAACCGTGGGAGCAAGCGTCAGTGCGATGTGCGGTAACTTGTATGAATGAGGACCTGATATTGATAGTGGTGTTGGTGAAGTTGAGGGTTTAGAGGAAAACCAATGTTTTGTGTTCACTAATTTAAAAAAAAAAAAAAGTGTTCAGTCCAAAAATGAATCATGGCAAACCGTTTCCTAAAATCAAAGAAAAGACTGTTTCCGTTAAAGCATGTATTTGGCCACACCTTCCTTTTCACTTGCGTATCTCTTCCATAACAGCATATCAAAATCCATTTGAATCGAAAACATAGTCACGTGCCAACTGCCAACAAAAATGAGTTGGAAAAGAGCTCTAATACAAATGTTGATGGTGGAAAGCCTTAAAAAGACCATGTCACCACCATCACAAGTCATTAATTCTTGTGCCACTTTCCTCCTATGCATGCATCGAAAACTGGTCAGTTCAAATCCTTGCCTCCACTTTCACTCTTTTCTAACTCTTTAATAATGACAATGGCATTAGGAGATTTCTTTTTGTTTGTCCATTTAGACTAGACGAGGAATTTCAAAATTTTGTACACAATCTGATTTTCCATTGACACACTTGACCATGCAAGCTATACACACATGCCACCCAACCCACTGGGGTATCATTTTTGGCACCAGATTCATGGCGGAGCACCACCTTAAAAGAGTCAAGACGAAGAAGATTGTGAACCGCCATTATCCTTGCTTGCACTTTGAAATTGTTCTACAAGTAAATTCCGTATTTTTACTCTCAACCCAGAGGCTTCTTCAGGTCTGAACGACTGCTTGCCAAACTGAAAGTGGAAACAGGTTAACCAAGAAAATACCAACCCAAAGAGAACTTTCTAATGATCACAAAGCAACACAACAGGTACCATTGCTAAATCTTTTGTTTTCAGCTTTTCAGGGGTTCTTCAATGAACCGCTCCATGAAGAGAAGAACAACGAGACCACAATCATAATCATTCTTTTGCTGGGGAACCTTGCAAAAAAGTATCAATTACAGTCTAAGCAATTTAAGAAATGTACAAAGATGATTTACTAGGAAAATAATCCTGTTTTCAGTGAAATTGACTCCATATTGAACATTTTATGTTCTGAATATTTAATCCTGCAATGGACGCTAGATTAAAGGGGAAAAAAAGGTAAAACAGTATTAAGCTTTCTGTTTGAAACAGATCAACTATCCCATTACAAACTTGAGGTTTCTGTCCCATTGCAAAATCTATAAACAAATAAGTCAAATTTAAGGCACTGCAAATAGAAACTTACAGCTATTGTTTTCTCATCAATCCAGCATGGGAGATTTTCCCAGATTTTGTCTGCAATTGGAAGATCTGAAGGAGCAACATCTTGGTTCAAATGGTTCCATTTTTTCCTCACATAGCTAGAAACCAAGATTCACATTGTCTATTAGGTGTAAGAACCACATTAAGAAGGCAAACCAGTCAAGCTTCAGTTAGACATATGTATTAGAAAATTACTATTAAAATAAACAACCAATCTTCAAGATTTTAAAACAAACAACTGAATCTTCAAGATTACGTGAACTACTAGGAAACAGGGAAGTCAGGATATGATTGAAAATCCACCCAGAAAGGTTTCAATTCAAATATTGTCATACTACTATACAAAAAAGTAGTAGTAATAATAATAATAATAATAATAATACCACTGTTAAAAGATGATGAAGATTCCCATGATCTGAATCTTTTTACTTGTATCACTTTAAGAAGAAATGGATGAAGAGATGTGCAGGTTTCAAAAGCATGCCATTTTAAACAGGAAAGGCACTATCCTTGTGATATTTCCTTCTCACTATCAAAAGGCTTCTTATTTTTACGAATATAGAGACAAAGACAAAGTATAGTAGTACATAGTCATTTATAATCCTTTGGCTTCTTTTGTTTCACCTTTTAATGTTCTTAAAAACAGATCTGCTAGAATGAAGTCCCAATGAATCCAAATGAAGGATAATTGGTCCAGGTGCATCTTCTTCGAAAGGTATACAAATGATGACCAAACTCCAATGGAAACTGGATACAAGAAAAGCAATAACTGAGTCAAAAGATCTGAATCAATTCAAGCCAAATTAGGGAGAATTTAGTATGAAAAAAGGCGCAAGGATGCAGTAAGCTACTAAATCTACTTATTCAAAAGAGATGGCTAACAAATCTATTGATCCATATCATTTCACCATTTTGAAATGATCCATCCAATTTAGTTATTCGACCACTCTTCACTCTTAAGCTTGCCAAAGAGAAGTATATAATTAACCTTTATCTCAGTTAACATAAAGCAGAATAGTCACTCAAAGCTAGTTAAGGCGCACAAGACAACAGGCTGTGACTTAAGTAAAGCAATCATTGGACAGTAAAACATGTTGATTACAGGCCAAAAATTGATCATTCCTGCATGAACGAATAAAACAAGTTTTCTATCCTATGCTTCTTTTTCAAAGTCAGAAATTAGGACAGGAGCAGGAAATCAAAAACAGTTACAAAGTTTTGTTCATGTAACAGTACCTCTGTGGTAACAATGACAACTTACAATTTCTAATCCAAGAAAGGGAAGTATGGAGGTGGGCAGATTGTAATTATCAGGAAATCAAAATGTCTGTTGATATTTGATAATCATGAGAAAGACACAAGAATTATTGGAAGATACATCTGTGGGAAAACACTTATTTACAGCTGGTTGTAATATTGTAATCTGTATATTTATATTTGTATCTCTAGAATTAAGTATTTGTATCCCTAGAATTAAGGAAGATTTAGTTTCCTAGTTTAACCCCTAGTTAGTTGTATATAAACCAAAGATTCTTGTATAATTAAAAATAAGCAGTTTTTTAATATACATTCAGTTTCCACATGGTATCAGAGCTTTAGGCTCTTCTTGGGAAGCAAAATTTTCAGGCTTCATTATTGACTTTTTTAGGCCTTCATTGCCGAATCCTGTTTAGGCCTTCATTGCCGAACCCTTTCAAAGAAAGATATCACTACCACCCAATTTGAGGAAATGTTAACTAGGAAAATCACTAGAGTACTACAGATATCTCAGAAACAAAGAGAGTTCAACAGGGAAGAGATTGAAAAGCTGAGAAACTTATTGAAAATCCTTGAAAAGCCTACTATGGTATGTTCTTTGGGTAAAGTTTCTAGTTTAGGTAAAGCTTCCGGTTCTCATGGATTAAATGTCTCGGCTAACCCTATTACGAGTTCTTGGGTCATTGACTCAGGAGCAACAGACCACATGACACATTCCTCACAAAAGTTTAGTACATATAACCTGTGTCCTAGTAATAAGAAAATTGTTGTTGCTGATGGTTCACTTACCACAGTGGCAGGATTAGGAGATGTTCAAGTTAATCCCTCGTTTGTTCTCAAAAATGTTTTTCATGTTCCTGGATTGTCTAATAATCTGATATCTATACAAAAACTTACTAGAGATATAAATTGCAAAGTAACTTTTTATCCCTCTTATTGTGAATTTCAGGACCAGAGTTCGGGGAAGATGATTGGACTTGCTAAGGAGAATGATGAGCTATACTATCTTGAGACATCAAATAACATAAGTAGTATCAAAAATAGTTTACCTTTGTCATTTCTTTCTGAAAAATCTTCCAATAAAGACAAAATCTAGCTTTATCATTTTCGTCTTGGACATCCTTCTTTTGGAACCTTGAGAAACATGTTTCCTTCTTTGTTCAAAGGATTAAATGTTGAAGATTTTCATTGTGATATTTGCGAATTTGCAAAACATAGACGTGTGTCTTTTCCAATTAGTAACAAAAGAAGTTTTACTCCCTTTTACTTGATTCATAGTGACATTTGGGGTCTCTCTACAATTCCTAATATTTCTGGTGCGAGATGGTTTATTTCATTCATAGATGATTATACCAGGGTTTCTTGGGTTTTTTTACTTAAATCCAAATCAGATGTGAATAGTGTGTTTTTAAGCTTCCAAAACATGATCCAAAATCAATTTGGAGCGAGAATCAAGAGATTTAGTTTTAGAATCAAGAAATTCGGGGTTAGTTTTAGAAGCATATACAGATGCTGATTATGCAGGTTCAGTAATTGATGAAAGATCCACCTCTAGGGGCTACTGCCACTTTCTTAGGTGGTAATCTTTTGACTTGGAGGAGTAAAAAAACGAATGGGTGGGCAAGATCAAGTTGCCAAAGCAAAGTCAGGAGCAATGGCCTCAAGGAATTGTGAACTACTATGTTTAAAGATCATCGCTAGAAGACTGAAGATAAGTGGGAAGGGACCAATGAGACTCTACTGTGATAACAAGTCCTGCAATAAGCATTGTAGCACAATCCTGTGCAACATGACAGAACAAAACACATGAAGTATACCAGCATTTCATAAGGAGAACTAGACAGCGGGTTGATTTGTACACCTTATGTATCAACCAAGGGTCAACTTGTAGATGTGTTGACTAAAGGTCTCAGCAGTGCAACATTTCAAGAAATTATTTTCAAGCTGAGAATGGAAAACACCTATTTACCAGCTTGAGGGAGAGTGTGGGAAAACACTTATTTACAGCTGGTTGTAATATTGTAATCTGTATATTTATATTTGTATCTCTAGAATTAAGTATTTGTATCCTTAGA